TGATAGTCTAGTGGAATAATCCATATTGAATAGGGCCACTCTACATCTGTCCAACTACCTCATTACAAAGTACCAGGAGAATGGTACCGCAGAAGCATGCACACCCAAAGAAGCTTGTATAACTCAACCTCCCAGTCATATCTATTTTAAGCATTCATTTACCCCCAAAGTATATAGGTCAGTATCTCTGGGGTACATTCCATCATCTCATTCCACACTCTCATTCTGGCCATTGATGAAGTTCTTCTGACTTTTCAATTCCAACTACAGAATGAAGAGGGAAAAAAAACAATTCCTAGCCCAGAAAAAAAAAAAAATCACTGGGCTCCCCATTCTGTAATCCCTAGGGCAGTTAATCTTTTGAAAATGCAAAGCAAATCATGAGTGTCTCTTCTACAGTGGTTCCTTACAGTTATGTCTACAAATCCCTCGACTGTGGGTCACACCCTTCACCGCTGGTCATGGTTTGCATTATGTGTTTCAGCCTCAGCTCTTTCCATCAAATGCTTTGGCCAAATGGGAAAAGATTACCCTAGTGGTATCAGGCACTTGCTCACAGTATTTTCTCCAATCTGACTCCAACCCCTTCTTGGTGATAACACCCTACTGAAGTATGAACTCTAATTATCTGTTTACTTATCTGTACTGCCCCGAGACCAAGTTCCTTGTAATCAGAGACCACATCTTCACCACACTGTACTTTATCAGTTACTTTTTGCTGCTGTGACTAAAATCAGCTTATGGGAGAAAGAGTTTATTTTGACTTATGCTTCAAGAAAGGGAATCCATATCGCAGGGGAGGCATAGCAGCTGGAAGTCAGAGCGGGACCTTACACAGGAATGGACCAGAGACAACAAACTGGAACTGTGGTAGATTATACACCTTCAAAGCCTGCCCCAAGTGACATACTGTTTCCAACAAAGCCAAACTCCAAGGTTCCATAATGTTCCCCAAACAGCATTACCAGGAGGAGACCACATGTTCAAATGCCTTAGCCTATGGGGGATATTGCTCAATCAAACCATCACATAGTTTCTCAATCAATACTGATTGAGAAAATTGCTAGGAGAAATAAGAACAGCTATTACATGATGAATCCACCTCCAGGTAAGATTCTAATCTGTGAGATTTGAACAAAAGGCTCATGGTAAGTAATATTTGTTGGGGGACTTGTCAATGCTGTGCCACAAAATATATCTCACACAATCCTATGGCTAAAACAATAATAACAACAAAAACTGGTACTTACTGTCAATCCTATGTACACCTGAGCAAGAAGTGAATGAGGTCAAGTGGTGGATCTTGGAAAGGCATCTCCCTCCTACTTCACAGCCTCTGGCTTAAACAGCTACAACCAACAACCTCTCCAGCTGTGTTCCAGCTCTGCAGCCTTCATTTCATTCTCACAGGTTCAAGACTGTCTCATTTCATAACAAATCCAGCCTGGGTTCCCATTAAATTACACACAAAAAAACTTACTTTGTCCTCTTCTGGGACAACAAAACTCACTTCTCACATCTATGTAACTTCTGGTCTTGGCTTAGAAGTTTTCTCCTTTAAATGACTGCTGAAGATATAACACTTTTAATGGAGAAAAGCAGAAACTGATTTTCTCACTCTGCAAAGGGTAGCTTTTGACTACGCATTTCAAGCATGTAGCTTGAGGAGAGCAGCAGGAGAATGGTGAACAGATGCACACACAGCAATGAAGGAAGGTTATAATCACATTACGAGCCTACATGACTAATATCAGCCCTTCGCGAACCTACTTTTTATTCGGAATGGAGATAGTAAAAGCCCCCACTCTATTGAGTAACTACGAAGATTCAATACACATAGGAAAAATACTCAAGACATACATGGCCATTGGTGAGCACATAAAACATCTAAATACTATGTATGATTAAAGCTGTGTTCACAGACTTCTGAAAAACAAATGTAAACCTCAATTCATTTTCTGATCTACAGTCAGAACTTCAGGTCTAAGTGGAGAAAAATAGGAACGTTCAGCGAAGGAACCAAAGTCATATAAAGCAAAACTCAAAACAGCAATCAAGTACCCAAGAAGGCAGAAGTCCCAAAAGAAAACACCAAGATGTGGTCACAGTATAAGGAAGTACCAATATAACATAAGCAAATAGCATTCGCCTTGCAGTGAACACGGGGCACATTTTTTTATTGAATTTTGTAAATATATATCCGTATTCCACCTACTGCTCACAGTAACCATATTCAACAAATATTCAAGAGCATGATATCAAATTCAAAGTCAGCCAAGAGTGCTCCTAGAAGAGGCAGTGCTGGGATAGTTTGGCTGTCACATGCATAGAGGAGCAGGACTTGGAGAGGTGGCGGTAAATCGGATGGGAGGTTTGCAGACCCCAGTCTTCCCTAGTCACCTGTCTTGCGGTTAAGTCTCTCTGGCCGCTACTGCTCAACCCTGTCCTGACAGTAAAAAACAAAAGACTGGAGAAGGCAGCTTGAGGGAGGGAAGCAACCACGCCGGAACCAGGGTGCCAGCTTCAGCAGCAGGAACAGTCTCAGAGCCAGTAGGGAACGGCGTCCCCGCTTACCTTGCTGCGCCCCTGGGAGGCGACGCGCTGCTGGGATCCCGGGGCCGGGAAAGCCTGGGAAGGGACGTTCAGCATCCTGGGCCCCGCGACTCGGGCCGCGTCCGGGTTCCGCCACCAGACAGGATCGTCTGGCGGGACCCCCAGCAGCCACCACCGCCTGCTCCGGCTCCGCGGCCGGGCAGAGGCCAAGCCCCCGACCCACTTCCGGGGTCGCCAGGGGGTCAGGCGCGCCATGACGTAGCACGCTCACGGGAGGCGGGGTGGGGGCGGAGTCAGAGGGAAAGAGTAAGCGATGGGGGGGTGTAGCGGGGGGGGGGGTGTGCAGCAGAAGCGCATGCTCAGTTATCGCTGGTCCAAAATTTCAGCACCACAGGGAAATGACAGCTTTCTGCAGGAAGATTAGTGAGTGAAGCTGTTCCCAGGCCCTGGTGCTGATCGAGTCCGACAGTAATTTCCCGTAGATTCCTGATCACCCAGAACACCAGCGCCTGTCCCTTGACAAACAACACCATCAGACTGTTTAAATATAGAAGAAAATAATACTCTAAAAACTTTCAGATTACTGAATGTTTTTCTCCTGCGAAACACTAAGCTCTAGGAAAGAGGACCTCACAACTTCATGAGCTAAGAAGCCTAAAGCAAGCAGCCTCTGCTGTGCGTTAAGGAGAAAACTTCACCTTTCTGCATTCTCTGGAAAACGAGTAAAGGACGTTTCCAGTCTCCCGCACCATCACACACTCACACATTCTTCCTTCTCCCATAGCTTTTCATCTTCCCTGAAATCTGCACGGAGTTCGCCCTTAAATGGAGTGATTTGGTTTTGGTGTCGTCCTTATACTTAATGATTTGTGTGAGTTTCTGTGTTTGTTTTTTATCTTTCACATACTAACACCCCTTCCCTCCTCTGCACCTGCTCCCTCTGCCTTCCCCGCACCCCACCGCTATCTGCTCCTCAGAGAGGGTAAGGCTTTTAGTTTCTTAAAGGAATATTTATCTAACTGCATGGGCTTGGGTTTCTGTAGAAATAAATGGCCAAATCTAAACTACACTGCCTATGTGATTAGTAATAGGTATCTAACAAAAGACAGGGCACCTTATACTATCCTAATTAGTTAACAAGGGAAGCATCTAATGTTGTGGGTCTGGGCTGGTGATGTCTTGAGCCTTCTTTTACATATATCTGGTAGAATATACAGATCCAGAGAGTAGAATCCAACAGAAAGAGAACATTTTCCCAATGAACAGTTTTGAATAACGCTACCCATTCGTTGCTGGGTACTACTTTTTTCCCTGACTCTGGACACATTATTTATTTCATTTATGCAGTCTCCAGAGTTCCTGGCAGTCAAAGTTGTGATAATGTTTTAATATTATAAGAGAAGTTCTGTGAATGTGCTTAGTCATTCAAGAAAGAGGTACTTCTTAGCTGGCTAATTATCTCTCATCTCCACCTTACCCATTTTTATTCTCGAATATTGCAGAAAAATATTTTTGAAATATTGCCAGGCAAGCATCGAGCTTGTACCTTCCCTGCCTCATCCTCACAAGTAGCTCAAATTATAGGTTAATAAAAATGTTTACTTGCAGTTGAACTGTTAATTTGATGATTATATATGAACTAAAAATACATCATGATTATAGTTTATATGTCACCTTAACCATGAAACTTGCCCATTTTTTGCCTCATTAAATTATGGGGTAAGTTTTCTTATGTGATGGCTGTGTAAGAAAATCCACTGAGAATTTATTTTGCTTCCCATAAGAAAATATTTATATGAGAATTTTGTGAGCAGGCAACTAGAGCAAAGGGAAAATTGATAACGTTAAAGTTCATGTCTGCAAAATCTTAGCTTTACCTAAGGCAAGAAAACACACTTTCATGTTCTGAACTTTTTTGTACTCCATACAAATAATTACAATTTAAACATCTTGTTTTAATTGTAGGAATCCCGCAGTCCTTCAGTAAGTACTGAACGCCAGATCAAGGACAAAAGGAGAGGATTAGAGTGGGAGTCATACCATTCACTGCTTCATTACAGTCCTTAAAAATTAAGAGACATAAGATTGCTTTCCTTTCTCAATTATAGGTAATTAATTGAAGCATTTCCACCATCAGCTAGCAAACATATACTAATATATGTGACACTCATCGCAGAATGCAATTTTCTTCACTAACTACCAAGATTACATCATCTGTAACTACAACATCCAATTGAGATCAATAGCAAACAGCAGACATTACAAGAGCCAGTCTTCAAAAAGCAAACAAATACTATTGTTCTTTGAAAAATCGTAACTAAGGATAAATTTGCAATTTAATAAAGAGACCAAAAGTATCCTTTGCAGGTCCCAGAGCCCCGTGATGCCTAGCTTAAATCCCAACATTTAATTCTAGTAGTGGGACAAAGAAAAGCTGAAACACTTAGTGATTATAAAATAGTTTTATTAACAATTTATATACAAATAAATAACTTTTAAAAGTTTATGATACAAATTTATACACAAAATTCAAATCCTACCCAGCTCAATTGTCATCAGAAGTAACCAATTAGCTTAATTTTCACAGGCTAGCCCCTCAATTTCATTTTCACTATCAGAATCTTCATAAAACGAAATCGTAGCTTGAACTGGGAAATTTTTCAGGAGAGTCTCTGCTTCTTGATATAAGTAATCGTAACACTTGGACTTGGGCCAGAGCAGTCTGAAAGAAGCAGACGACACACCATCCTTATGTTTTGCATTCCTGATAGCCACGGAATGAACAATCACCATAAGCTCTCTATGCTAAACAATTTGTTTACACATTTTAGCGACAGCCTTGAGGTGCAGGGTTTAAAACTGCTACTGCCACGGTATTCATCAAGTCTGCTTGCCAGAGTACAAATAAATGCTTGGTTATTTTACATCTCTATCAAGCTATAGGTTAGATTTAAAATTGGCTGTCACCTCTAAAGCAGAAGATCAATGCTTACCTTACTTCATGAGTTATATGTATGTTTATTCTTACAAAATGTAGAAGGTTAGACTTCCATTTTCTAAATTTCTTTAGAAGGCAGAAACATTCCACCACTACTTCAGTGGATGTGGGCGACAGCCGGCTTTACTGGGAGGGCACAGTGCTTGAACCCTGGACAGGCAGCAATCACCCACTGTCCAGCAGAAAACCTCTGGGTATAGCTATAGCTCTTTGTTATAGATATAGCCAGTACACTCGATCAAAAATGTACATGAAAAGTAGTTTTAAAAGCTTGTCTATGCCTCCACAACTAGCTAGGTGGAAAGACTGCTCCAACACCAGTCTTTATTCCCAATCCCTCTTCTCTCCCATCCAACCGAATCTGGAAACGCTATATCAATGTATTGAGAGTTATATAGGTTCTATACAATTAATTTGCAAGTAAGCATCATAACCTCAGAATTTTAAAAATTTGACCACTATTAATTAATATAGTTTCTGTGCGATTATTTGGGCCTGGGTTGCTAGGAAATGAAAGTGCAGTCTGTTTACACAATGGTGGCTAATGCGGGCTCGAACCCATAATCCTGCAAATAAGAGTACCATGCTCTGTGCACTGAGCTTGCATGAGACTCTTAATCTCAGGGCCATGGGTTCATGTCCCACATTAGGCACAAAAAAGTTTACAATCCAGATGCTTAAACAAGTAGCATTTATACATTCAATAAATGTAGTAGCAAGCTCTTGTGCCAACATAATCCACCAATCAAAAGTGGAATAAATTATGAACCCTACCCTCAAAGAATGGACCACTGAATAAAAAGTATAAGACAAACAATATTAGTCAAGATGGAGATTAATAAAAATTAATAAAAAACTATAATTAACTTTTTCAGCAAAGAGTTGTTTACAATATACCAATATATGTTCTAATATGCAACTGGAATTGCTAACCCTCCCCATCCAAAATGGTCAGGTGGTATCATCATACTCTGGTCAGACTCTGTGGACAGTTCTTCCAGGGATGCCATCCTTTTTTGAGTTCTCCCTGTTCTGATTTTTCTATCAGTTTCGTAGCCTTCCTCTACTCCATATGCTAGGTGGAGTCTGCTCTTTCCCTATACCTTGATGGAGGAGGGTTATCTGTCTATTGTGTTATTTTCATTGGTCAATAAAGAGACTGCCTTGGGCCCTTGATAGGACAGAAAATTAGGTAGGCGGAGTAAACAGAACAAAATGCTGGGAAGAGGGCTATGAGCCAGACGCCGTGGAGCCAGCCACCAGGTCAGACATGCTGAATCTTTCCTGGTAAGCCACACCTCGTGGTGTGATACAGATTATTAGAAATGGGTTAATATCAAGATATGAGAGTTAGTCAGTAACTAACTCTCTAGAGATAATGGGCCAGGCAATGCTTAAATGAATACAATTTATGTGTTGTTATTTCTGGGACTAAGCTAGCCGTGCGGGAGCCGGGTGAGGCGAAAAGTAGGCCTGCCCGTAGCTCCACACTACAATACCTTCTCTGAAAATGACCAGCTTTTCCCTCTGCACTTCTTTAGGATGACCTCACCCCCTTTCATGACCTCATTCAGCATACATCTCACCCCTGTGTTGGCAGGGAAGGTTTTCAGGCTGGCTCCTGACATGTATGTGTCTCTCTCCCTAATTGCGCTATTTAGATGCCTAAAGCACATGCAATACAACAAATCTATTTCAGACTTGTCTCTCATTCCCCACATCTGCATCATCATAAAACAGCACTTACCTGGTCAGCAGTCACAAATTTGGGAGGCATTCTGACTGTTTAGCTGTCCTTCACCTACCTTCCCAGTGCATTATAAAGCCCAGCTCTGTCACCTAAGTACCTCCCCTACATTTCCATTTCTGACGACTTAGAAAGGTTCTTCTTCATTTCTGACTTGTAACTATTTCCAATTTCACGTCGGATGTTTTAAGTTGTTATTCTGGTCCCTTAATGATTTTCCTGAAGCATCAGTCTGATTATACCATTCTTCTGGCTAAAATCGATAACCATCAACACCTTCTCCATAGTGAAGTCCACGAGATCTGGGCACAACTCCACATGGAAATGCATAGGTTCTGACCTTTCACTACCTTACTGCCACCACTACAGCTACACCCAAATCCCTGGTCTTGGAGCTTCAGCAGGAGCCATGCTGTCCCAAGATCCTGTCTCTCGTTTTCTATGTTATTTCTTTTGATCCAAGAGTCCCCTTATCTGACTCTTGGAGACTCAGTGTAGTAACCATAACTAATTTATAATCCACCCTTTGTGAGCTTTCTCCAACCCTTCTACAATTATGTATTTAGTATTTAGTACTCTGAACTCACTTCAAAATTGACCAGAGTTAAGTTGGAGGGATGACTTGGTGGTTAAGAGCACTAAGTGTTCTTCTGGAGGACCTGGGTTGAGGTCCCAGCACTCACATAGCAACCTAAAACCACCTGTAACTCCAGTTCCAGGAGAACCTACTCCCTTGCCTGACCTCTGTGTGCACCAGGCATACACATGGTTCACATACATACATGCAGGCAGAATAATCAGACACAAAAAAATAAAACCTTAAAAAAAAAATCTGACCACAGTAAACTCTATTCCAACACTTGTCACTGGCTTTCCCTGTGTCCCTCTGTTACTTTTAGCATATGTAGTTAATCAACACATAGTACAACTACTGTACACCACATATAACACGTCGTCACAGGCCAGGCCTTTAACACAGGTACACAGGCCTTCCTTTAACAGTCCAGAGAAAACCACACAATTGTAAACATTTTGTCTCAAACAAAAGCTAAAAACCTACAAGGAATCTTATAGAATGGCTGACTTTGTGTGGCAAAAGATGAAACAAACAAAAAAAACAGTAAAAACAAACAAATACAGTAAACAACTGGACCAGCCTTGGGTCACCTTTGACCCCTTTTAGCCTGGTCATTGGTAATCTGTCCAACGTTCCTTTCACTTTCAGTTTCTCTTAAGGATCAAGCTTATCTGCTACAATCCTGTAAACGGTCCACCCCATTCTTCCTCCTGGTTTCTAAGAAAGTAATACATACACTCTGTATGCCGTGAAGCCAGTTTCACACTGACTTAAACATAATAAAGCAAAATAAAAATTCAAAACAACTTCTCCAGCACAGGGTATCTCCCTTCTTATAACCCAAAGCCTCCTTCACGGCAGGTAAGCATCCTACCACTGAACTCCGTATCCAGCCGCGTCCGTTCACTTTTCTAACCAATCTGCTTTCTGTCTTGTAGCCAGTTCTTTTAGCATTTACTCACCACGCACCAATTGACAGTCCTTTTATGTGAAAAATCAGACAATTTCCCATTCTGTGAGTAACAGCATCCTCAGAATGGGAACACAGAGTAACTGACGGCAAATTTTCCAAGAAAGAAAAACTGCAGAACCGGCTACTGAACCAGGTTGCGCGGTGATGCCCCTAATGTCCTCCCTAGAGGGGGAGTTGAAGACCTTAAGTAAGTCCTGTGACTCACCTGACAGGGTGTTGGTATTGAGAAAGCTTCCCCGAGGCTTCCCTCACTCCAGGACCACTGGACAACTAGGGAGGGAAGGAATAAAGGCAGTCACCATGCATCTCTGTAGAAACTGGGAAGTTGTGTGCCACCCAGTCTCTGGTTCAGGTAGGGACCATGTCCCTGGGTCTCTCCTCAAACCAGCTCTTCAGCTGCAACTGGCTAGCTACATCACTGCAGAGAATTTCCCAGCCTGCCTTCATACCTACAGGACCTGGGGCAGGCACAGCGCAGGTCACCAGGGGCCTTAGTGCCCAGGCCCGGCGTGGGGGTGGGGGTGGGGAGGCTCTGCAGCCTGAACCGCTGCAGGTCATGCTGTCTGTCACTCACCGCGTCTGCAGCACGGGGCTGCTCCCGCTCCTCTTCCTCTCCGGGGGTTCGAAGCCAAGGTCTCCAGAAGCCCTCAGACCTGCAGAACGGCAAACGCAAACCGCGCGCGAAAAGACTGTGAGCCCGGCCACAGGACACAACTAGGACCGAGCACGGACACTGGGCAAGGGCAAGGGCAGCGGGCACAGGGCGAGGGCTTAGGTGGAGGGTGCGTGGGGATGAGCCGGGGCCAGGCGGTCCTCTGGCTCCGCGGCCCGCGGGCACGGAGAGAGGGTGGAGAGGGTGGATCCCGGCTGATAGGTACCCGGGCTGCGCTGGTGGCGGGCAGAGACTGCGCGGGGGTGGGAGCGCTGGGCTGTGCGCGCGCTCGGCGCTCTCCGCCGTGTCCATGGCAGCGCGGTCGCTCCCGTGTCGCAGCCGGGCTTTATCTAGCCCTCGCGGCCCGCTGTGCTTGCAGACCTTCGCACCCCGGCGGCCCTCGCTCCGCATAAACAAAACGGCAGCGCGTGAAGGCGCCGCGGGCCGTGCGCTGGTGTGAACGCGTGCACATCCCAAATGGCCCGAGAACCGGCTGCAGGAGCGAGTGTTAATAGCCCCCCTGACCCAAGGCCTGGGAGAAAAACAGCATGTGCCCGAGCAGCCAATTTCCATGTGAAGAGGATAGGAGGGGATAGAATTAAGTGATTCTACACGTTTTGTGTATTTCTGCAAAAATGCCGACGGCTGATAATTGCCCCTTGGCTTGGCCCTCTGGCCTTCAGCAAATGTAGCTGGCTCTGAAGCAGCCTGTGTTCTAAAAACTGGATATGGAGTAAGAAAAAACAAGAATAGTCTTTATTTTTTTCAAGCCCTCTGGCACAACAGAGACACACACAGAGAGAGACACACACACACAAACCAAAGTATCTCTGTGTATGGAAATATAGATCAATAATAAATATATTTTAAAAAAACTATATTAATAAGTTTTGTCCAAAATCTGCTTATTTGAAGAGGACAGAAACTGTTTGGCAGCAAGAGATAAATTGTGAAAACCTGATCGTTACAGGCAAGAAGGGCAGAGTCAGTTGTGTGGTCTCAGTGCCTTCCCCCATTCTCATGACTTTCTCCCAAACTCTCCTCATATCTCTCCTCCAGGAAGCCTGAATGTATTCTCTCTCCACTTCTGCCATCAATTGGTATTGTATCAGTAGATAGTTAGACAAGCCTTTCGGAGTTTGGGGAAGATGTAGATGATCATGGATCTTGGAAGGTCATGATACGAGACAAATTCCCTTATTCTTCCTGTACTAGTTCTTGGGAGTTACCCGTCCTTGATCTGTAGATTCATTAACGCTGGCAAAAAAAAAAAAAAGTTCTGTTTCAAAGCAAATATGATATGTAAATGTTACAATTTCCTTCCAAAACATTTTAAATAATGGAACTGAATTTCCTCAAATACTGCAGATTAAAAACCTCGATGTAAGCTATAAGACCACTTCTATTCACTTGGTTACTTCATAAGAAAAGAATCAGTTTAATTATTACCTAGGAGGTTGCAATGATGTAACTGCCCAGGGAATGAGATACGGTTTCTTCAGGTAACGAAATCTATCAGTGAAGACAGATGCCTACTGCTGGACTCAATGGCTAGAGTAGCAAAGCTTATTAAATGCTTGCGGTGTGTCTGACACACAACAATAAGTCCTTCCTTCACAGGTAATAAAAACGATTTAAAAATATTATGGCCTATTGGCAAGTTAAGATGCTTGCTGCCAGACCTGACAACCTGAATTTGACCCCCAGAGCCCGCATGGTAGAAGGATAAAACTGATTCCCACTTGTCCTTCTACAAAACACAGCAATGGCATGAAAATCCATTGCTTCTACACCAACACACACACACACATACATACACACACACTACATAAATAAATATAATATAAATATAATGACCTTACAGATGTGGCCTACGTGATGAAGGGACCAGTCGCATAAATATCTTTAATGCATCTGCAATGTGTTAAGTAATATATATATATATATTTACATCTGATGACTTAAGTGTTCTCTCATTACTTAGGAAGCTTGTAATCTATGGTCATTACAGTGGCTGCAAAAATCAATGTTTTTTAAAAGAACATATTTAATTGCTAAAGGACATTTTACGTTTAGAAATCAAGGTCAGGAGGACTCAGTGTGTCTTTTAGGTACAATAAGGAAAATCTGCTTAGAGTAAATGAAACCTAAGTGGGGATTTCTAGAAGGATCAGTTGAAGAGTGTTATTGTCTCTGTGTGTGGTAACTGGGTAAGAGGAGAAAGGGTGAGGTATTGCTGACACAGAGTTGCAGCTAAAGGGATGGCAGTTTTGGGCTGTTGAGAATCTAATATGAGGAGCTCAACTTTCTGACTTTGTTCTGTAAGTATTGGTGGAAAATGATAAGCAGGGGAGTGGAATGGTGGGTTGTGTGGGCTCAGGCAAAGACAAGACCACAGCAGGCCCAGAGTGTGGGCCCACATTTCTGTATGGTGTGGCAGCCAGGCTCTGAAGCCACAGGCCCCACCTGAGGTGGTCACGTAGCCCTGCAGACAGGCTGTTGGAACCTAACAAAAGGTCAGGATGTTGTTGCTCCTTTTTTTATAATTTAGAGGATGCCTGATAGAGATGCTGATTCAAGCCTACGTGACAGCTAGCATACACCGCACACTGGTAGTTGTGGACCTGAGGAAAAGCCATTCACCTGGTTACCTAGGAGAAAGAATGCTAATGTATTTCCCCTAAGTTAAGCTTTGGTATGAAGACTAAACAGGAGGAATTTTTTCAGGATGTAAACTCAGGACTTCATGAGAGACCACTAAAAATCTCCCTCCCGATGAAACCATATGATTTGTGTCTTTATTTCTGTCTCCTCCACCCCGGTCCAGAGACAGAGTTTATGTTGGGGTCTGGTCAAGAGAAATAATTTAGAGTCCGGGCTAGCTCCAGACCCTGACACCAGAGCAGAAAAGATACTTCCATGTTTCAGTTTTTAAAATGACTCGGAGAGGAGAAAAACGATAACACATTTGATACTAGTTTTTCAATCAGTCAGGATAGACTGGTCAATATGGTAGTAAGGAATAATTTCAAAATTTCACAAGCTTAGTGCAGCAGGGATGAACTTCCCAGTCATCCTGTATGCACCCTGTTTTGTCTAATGGAAGACTGGCTTTTAAGCTTCTTGGCTCTTGGAGGCAAGCTGATGTAGCTTGGTATCTCTGGACCATTGCCAGTTATGTTTAACAGGGAGACACAGTAAAATTGTGTACCTAAAGCGACACACATCACCCCTAAACACTTAAGCTATGAGATGACACATTGATCTCAAGAGAGAAAGGAAATACATTTCTGCCATATTCCCCCAAAGAGGAGAAACAGAAATAATCATATAAAGACCCTCTTTCCCTGCTGCTGCTGAATTCAGTCACTGTCCTTTCTGTGCACAAAACACAGTCACACTAAGAACAAGAACTCAGATGGCTCTGGGGGCTTCTGAGATGTCCTGTTGAATATAGATGAAGATACCTAAGGAGCAACCAGAGTTATGAGTGCTGGGGTGCAGCAGAGAACTTAAGGCTGAAGACTTAAATGTGGGAACATCAACATTAGGAATTGAGTGGCTTCCTAAGGAAATGTTGTAGCTTGTGAGAGCGAACCAAGGCCAGAGCTCTGGAGGGTGACATTTCTTAGATAAACCTGGCTCCAACAAAATCACTGAGGAGAAATGGTGGCAGTAAAAAGTGAGCCAAAGTTCAGGTGGCATTGTAAGATGAGGTAGACTTCCAACAAGGAAGAAGAAAGTCAAACAAAATAATGACAGGTATTCATTGGATTTGGCAACTAAAGGATTCTATATTCTTTAGAAAAACATTGCTTGAATGCATAGGGACAGAAGCTCTTTCCTGCAAGTTGGTTCAGAGTTCAGGCTAAAGAAATTAGGAATGTTGAGGGCACCCTCTTGAGAAGAAAAGAGTGAAGGGGAAAGAAGATTAGGAGAGGAGGGTCCTCAAGAGACAAGGGATTGAGTGACGGCTATGGTCTCCAAGGAGGAAGGAAGAAATGAGGTCAGTAACTCTGGGAGAAGATCCTCATGAGGTTGAAAATTAGTGTCAGTAGCAATCAAATACCATAGAGGTTGACAGTCAAGGTGAATAGATTTGGCATGGAGAGGAGAGGAGAGCGTGGTAATAATATACTAAACCTGAAACATTACATCCCCAAAAGAAAAAGAGAGAACCAGTAAATAAGAATACAGCAAGAATAATGCTTGGCCAAGTTCATGTTAAACTGGGAAGGAAAAATATAGTCTACCAGAACTATAAGGGTCCCAAATCTTCCATTTCTACCTTGATTTCATTAAATCCCTGAGACTCACATGGTGAAAGTAGAGAACCCACTTCTGCAAACAAGTTGCCCTCTAACCTCCACCAATGTGCATATACATGCATGTACATGTACTCACACATGCATAATTACTTGAAATGCAATAAAATTTCAAATATATTATGAAAATCCAGATTTATAGCATAATCTGTTGTGCAACTTACACGTGTTACAGGTTAGGTTTTAGAATTTAGGTTCAATTTAGAATTGAACATCGCTGGCACATTTGTAACACATGGCTTCCATAACATATTACATGTGCTTTTCAAAACACTTCCATGAGCTAGAGACCAACCTCCATAATCTATTATGAATGAAATATTAAAAGCTTCTTTTATGCATGCATTTATTGAACATACTATGTGAGTGTTTTTTTTTACTTCCTTCACTGTACAGTCTTCATAATACCATGAAGAGGAGATGAGTAGGAACTGCCTTCTGATTTCTAGTGAAGCCAGCATTGTCTGGAGGCACACTGTGGCAACCGCAGCAGTGAGTCATGATGATGTCCCATTCCTTCACACATCTGTTCGCAGCTCCATTTCTTTTTTCTTCCTATTCTTTGTGTCTTCCTGCCTCCTGATCCCACCCATCTCCCTCCCCTGAAATAAAACAAAATAAAATGTAAGAGAATAAAGGGGGGGAGGAAGAAGGGGAATATCTCATCATGGAAACTGCAGTGTGACACAGTGAGTCACACAGTAAACCCCATTATCCACACTTTTTTTTTACATGCAGGTGTTTATTGCAAGGTCTGGTTCAAGGCCCCCGGTCTCTACTGCACCATCAATGCTGGGCCCTCTGGGACTCTTCTTTAATATCCTGTTGGTGTTCTATGTTGGAGAGATCCTGCATCCCTGGTTAGCATGATCGCCCTCCCACCACGCTCCAGCAGATCACAGATGGGGTGGATGTTGGGGTGGGCCAACATATGACCCTAGTTCAGGGCCTGGGTAGTTGCAGGGTTGGTCAGCCTGCCAGCTCTCCCCTGTCTTCGCCACCAGGTGAGCTCTCCAGCATTGCTCTGGCTAGTTCACCCCTTGCAGCGATGGGCAAGGGGTGCGGCCAGTTCAGTTTTCACATCCTCAGTGTCCATTCTTCCACACC